TTATCACCTCATTTAGACAGACGAAATGATTTAACACCGGTAAGACCACCGACAAAGTCTAGTCTTTTGATCTAATTTATCATTTTTCAATTGTCTCATTTCACAAAGTCTAGAAACACTTTAAAATTAACGGAATAATTTTAATTTATTCTAAATTTATTGTTTATGTTGAACATTAATTAAGCCTTGATCGAATTATTTATTCATGTATTTTTAGTGGGCTGGTTAGTGAAGCAGCAAGATTGAATCAGTGACACTGGTAGCCTTGTGGATAGTATTTCACATTCATGAAAGAACGGAAGGATGGTCATTGACCTCGTAGGTTACTTGCTGTTCGACCACGGGCCTGCACATACCTAGAGCTGGCCAACAGTAAACCCGAAAAGCATGAAAGAGTGATGTGAGGCTACTCATTCCACCCTGTATAAATATCACACTACATCTACTGAAATTTCAGCGGTATGCTGGATTGCCTTGTTACCTGAAAGTTGTCAGATCAATCTTCGATGGGATCACAGGCGCACACTACTCAGGAATACAAAGCTGTCAGTTTTCTAGGTCTTCAGTGATTCTCTAAATAACATCAGTTCATGACTGAATAAGAAACTTCGGTGAAACAATATGCAAGAGGAATGAAAAACAAAGCAAGAAATAGAAATCGAAGAAATCGCACGAATAGGGCCTTAAATGTAGTGAATATATCCACACTGAAGATTGTGAGCACACCGAGCTGACGAGTCCTGAATAAGATAATATACGCATCATGGATTCCACTGTCAGTTGCCATCCACCGAAATTGATCTTTTTTTAACCCAAGATATCGTCAAAGCGTACCCAATAGATGGCGACATGTCAGCGTATGCTGAACACTATTCTACAACTTAGCCAATCAAAGCAAAGGGGAAAGCCAGACTATTTGTTTAAGTGTTGGTTTGTAGGGATTTGGTTAGTTACAGGATTTCATCATAAGGGGACATTGGTTAGAGAACCACTGGAAACCTGGGAGTACTGAAGAGCTATTTCGTCCTAGTTAAGGACTCTTCATCAGTACGCACCCATCGAGGTACGAAACGATGAAATTCTGTAACTAACCAAATCCCTACAAACTGGCACTTAAATGTCTATGAGATGCTCACTAGAGAATCGCCCTATTCAGGTAGGTTCTAGTGAGAAATCATGACCAGTTGGGTACAGAGGGTCGTGTTTGAGAACCAATACTTGCCAAAGCCATTGGCTAGGGGTCGCGTTATGTCGTGAAGTGGCAGAAGTTAGAATACATGGACCAGTGAATCGCGTCCCAGTGGATTAATGGCCTACGAGGTCGCTAGCCTTGTAACCAGAAGGTCCCGGGTTCGAACCCCGTTGGGTGCGTATTGCTGAAGAGTCCGAAACTAGGATGAAACTGTTGGCTGTCCAGAACTTCGTGGTGGTTTTCCAATGGTTCTCTAACCAATGTCAGCTCATGATGAAATCCTGGAACTATTTTTTTTAATTTTTTTATTTAGAGGTATTCATATTTCCTCTCATGTGATCCACTCCTAACCTTGAAACTTGTATTTTGTTGATTATAAACATATTAGTATTTCCCCTAAATGTCTATTCACTTTTTTATTATGTTCTCAATGACTATATTCAACATGCATTCAGTTGAAGCGGTGATAACCAACGGACTGTTTAGAATGTAGACATTGCAGCGATTTAGGTTAACTTCAATGTACATTTTATCACAAATCAGGATCAGTTAGAGACCATCGATAACCACGTATTACAGTCTAAACGGTTTGTTAGTGAAAAAGTTTGATCTCATAACCTACAGGTCATGTTCTTGATCACTGACTTGGTTGTTAATCTGTACTTCTGAAATGTCCTAAACTCGAGCTTGACACCTATAAATTGCTCCCTGATTTTTGATGATCTCTACAAGATTTTGCATCGGGACGAAATCCACATTGGAATTAACCGAGCATCGTTCCATCTTTTACAATTAACTCGACTAAGTTTCTGATATGATTTTCATTTGCCTTCACACACTCTATTCTAATATTCATGGGTTTATAGCTATGTTGGGCTAGAAGAAAGGCTAACCCGCTGTACTCTGCCCACTTCTCTTTTCTTTCTTTCTACATGACTTATCATCTTCAAATGACATTAACTTTGTTAAATATGCTGACGACCTGACTGTATCTCTGCTTGCCAAATGTCAAAGTGACTGCTTAAACTAAATGGCTTTTTATCAGAAATCAGCCAATGGTCCAAGGAAAACGGTCTCACCTTAAACCCCTCCAAATGCCAAACAGTTAATTTCACCTTTAGGCACAAATCTGACCTAAACAAACTGGTTAGCATTCACGAGGTGTGGCACTGAAATTGAAACCAAGTCGGAAATTAAATACCTATGCGTCACTCTATCTTCTGATCTTTCCTGGTCGTCTCATATCTTGATGATTTCTAAGAAATTATTCCGTCTTACCTTCTACATCAAGAAGTTAAGACATTCTGGTATAACCCAAGCCTTACTCCTACGATTCGTTAACTCTTGCATCCTAACTACTATTCTCCATTGTTCCACCTTAGTTTTTCCTGGGCTGCTGAAGAAAGGCTATACCTTATTACGCAGGATGTTGAAGGTGGTCAGCAGGGTAAGCAATGTGCCATCTAACCAGCTTGTTAATATTCTGGTCGCCAGGCACTTGGACTCATGGACTCAATCCATTCTATCTAACTCACACTACCCTATTCGTTCACAACTCTCCCCTTGTATCTCATCAAACTGAACCAGAGGCCTATATAGAAAACTATGTGTTCGCACTATCAAGTACAAAAACTCAACCATACCCTACTTAGCTCGTGTTCTGTGCGATAAAGAAAGCATTAGGCGTGATACCTATAACTTATTAAATAGTCAGTAGAACAACTGGATCTCGTCTATCCAAATTGTATCATTTACGGCTACAACGTTTTTCTTTCTTTCTTTTCCTTTTCTCTTTTTTGGTTATGTGCTGATTTGTTTCTCTCTTCCTTACAAACTCTATTTAAAACATCCTTCTTTGTTCTTTCACACTCTGTATATCTCTACCATTTTGAAACTGCTTACGCCAGTAAATATGCTAGTAGTATCTACTTTTCTAACACCCTCAAACATTCTGTTCAATTTTGGCTTTGCTACTGACATGCTAATATGTTGTTGTCAAAATTAACTGAGGCTAACCATAATCTATGTAGAATCTTACTTATTGATAATGTACAAACTGGATGCGCAATACTCTAGTGAAATGCTGAGAATTCTATTCTGTATCACAAGTGCTGTTTTGGAATAATAATAATTATGATTAATAAAAATATATAGTTAGGGCGACTTACGCCTCTTCACTCTAAGCTAAATACTGAGTTGCGTCATGCTGGAGAGAATATAATATGTACTGGCTGCAGAACTCCACACCCATAGATTAAGCTGGATCCAGGAAAGACAAATCATTTGCTGCTGATCAACCTGCAGTTCTTCTCATTATCATCGAACAAAGCGTATCACGGCAGTTAAACCTCTACTTCAAATTTGTCGACTTCGGAAATGCCTTCATGAGACAGCTTTGGCCGAGAAGTAATTTGGAAACTGTTTCAACACCACGACAAGAAGTTTTCAAATCTTTATCAGCCTTATTCAACAGCAATATGACGGCGTAATGTGCCAGTTAAAAAATACGACGAAAACTCAGCCGGGTGTTCGAAGTGGATACACGAGTGAGACAATCTGGCTGCATATGACCACTGATGATTTTCTGAAATGTGTTAGACTCCATTGTGCAGAATACTGTTCATTGAAGCGAGGAGAGAGGAATGCTCTGGATCACTAACAAGAAGACTCTTGAAGATCTGGGTTATGCAGACGATATATGTCTAGTGATACACAAACTAGAAGACTTGCAGGCGAAAACTTACAAACTGACTTAAGTGTCAGCTGAACATGGAGAATACAGTGGTGATGAAAATAACCAATCATTGACAACGAAATAAATTTGGAAGAAGTTGCTTCCTTGACTTATCCAGAAAGCATCGTTTCAACGTCAGTGGCACAGTGGTTAGGATCCTCGCCTACCATGCACATGGTCCGCGGTTCGAGCCCACGTCGATGCACACATGATATCTGTGGTCGGCCTGCGAATTTTAGGCTACCGATATCCACGCTGAAAATTCCATACTTGTACCGAAACTACGGTGTGGAATCAAGCTGTAAATCAAAATCGAATCAACTGTAGGCACACTGAACAGATGAGGATGTCAAAATTAGAATCACACTTTCATCACTCTTAAAACCAGTTTGTAAATCTTCTGCCTGGCGTTCATCGTAAAGAAGAAGATTGGAATTTTCACCACAAATGGGAAGTAAGTCAGTCACTTCTTCTATATGGATTAGAAACTTGCATTGCATATTATGAAAGGAGATTTTTCAATAGCCAGTTACAGACTTTTTTCAATAGCTGCCTACACTGGTCTCATACTGAAGATCATATGGCCATCTGGTCAGAATAAAATTATCAGCAGCAAGAAACTCTGACGGACAGTAAACCAACGAAGAGTTGACCGCTTAACAAATATGTAGGGAAAAGTAGAGCAAAAGTATCCAGCATACGTTCAGGAGACCATTGAATAACATTGCGCACAGTGTAGGCCATTGCTCGACAAGGAATCCAGATTTGAAGCGACGATTGAGTCGCTGGTGCGAGGATGACATGGAGGAGTTTGTGTGGTTATGAGAAAATTAGAGACTATGGGTATTTTTCGGCCCGCTGCTGAAGGGGACAGCAGATAATAGAACAAAGTGAAGATGCGTTATTGTTACCCTAGGTTTCACTCGGAATCTAAAGGGGAATAAAAATTGTAACTATAGAGCCTGAAGAAGCATTTATTGTTAAAAATCTGTCAGTAAAATTTTCTTCTCTTATTATGTGTGTATATATTTATGTATGCAATATTCATTGTTTACTATAATTTATCCAATTCAGGGTTCCGGATCACGAAGACTCAGTATCCAACTTATGGTATTAAACATTTGTGTTATATTCCAAGAATGTTTCTCATAAACCTATCTATATATGTTTTTGATGCATGTTCATGAATGCATGTGTAAAATGCCTGCTGTTGTCGCTACACAGTACACATACTGGTTATCCGTTGTCTTGCTGCAATGTGAATGTTGTTCAACAAAAAGATTTACTTATAATGACATTAATATTTACTTACAGTTCTATTCGAATGTTCTGAACAAGATCGTCAAGCAAAATACCAGTTACCAATATACTGTGTGACTTTATTATTGTTATTGTTCAATCAGAAGACAATGCCCACCGCATTAACACACATTGCTTTTCCTCATTTTTCTGGACTAATACGAGGGACAGCAGTTTGGAGGCTATTCGAAAATGTCTAAGTGTGAGTAGTAGTGTGGTGGCAGCTGTCTGCCAGCCAAAATTGTAGACAACAATTTACGTCAATGTTACGTCCGGAATCAGCGTCATAAAATGGCAATAACAAGGCCCAACCTTGAGGAACTCACCAACTAATCACATAAAAACTTAACGTGTGCAAATACGATTCGCAGACATATAGCCTGACTTTCTGCGAAACGGCCACAAAGAGATGGCAGAACAGCCTTCAGATTCTCCCCTGATTTTCTCAATAAACCGCCTGTTTCCTGGTCCTTGTCTTCTGCCGTTACAGTAGTAATAGTCTCTGTGACTGGAAAATGTTACTGAATAATGAATAAAATGCAATATAAGAATTAGTGAATTTGATGTATTTGTGTTGAGCGGAGATTTTTATGTAACCTGGACAAACAAGAGCAGTGTGAATCTGCTTGAGATGCCAAACTGATATGCCTAATTATAGAAATAATGAATAGTCATATCGGTTCACGACTATGAAACATAAAAGCACGCATTATACAGTTTATTACAAGCAAATATTCTGTAATATAACCAAAGGTTCACATGTAATTTCTTCCAGAAAAATGTACTTGGCTAGTGAATTACTGAAGGCAAAGTTTCTGCTCAGCTCAACTTCAGAAGGTATGTCAGAAATATATGTGGATTATCACATAACATCTTCTTGACGAGAAGACAGGGATATAATGGACCAACGTGGATTTCGCGCGTGGATGTCACACAAAATCAAAGACTTAAAAGCGAAAAACCACAAACTGGATGCTCCAAGAGGCAACCAGCAAAGACAGGACTTCAGGTGAACATAGACAAGATGGAAGTTATGAAAATAACCAACCAACCGACAGTAACAACAGCAACATCCAGCGCCAATCACCATCAATGGGAGGGATTTGAAAGAGGTTACTTCATTCACTCACTTATCCAGCATTGAGCATTGTCTCAACTACACGAGGAGGAACGGACGAGGATGTCGAGAGAATCAAGAATCAGGAAGGCGAGCGAAAAACACATGCATCATCAATACGAAACCGATCTGGAAAACCAATCTTCGTCACTCAGCCAGCATCAACAACAAAACTTGGTCGGATCTTCAATACGAACATGGTCAAGTCAGTCAGTTCTTTTATACGGATGAGAAACTTGGTGGGCGGGTCACAAAGAATACTTCCAACGGCAGTTGCAGACCTTCATCAACAAATGTCTTCCCTAGATCTATACTGAAGATCAGATGGTAGGGCTGGAAAGAATTAGCAACAAGAAACTATGGGAACAAACAAAACAAGAACAAACCAACCACTAACCAAAAAATATGCAGGAGAAAGTGGAGATGGATGGATTGGACACTCACTCGCCGAGGAGGCCGCCGCCAGGTGACATCACGCGCGCGTTAGGCCATTGATCGAGTGGAACCAGGCTGAAAGAGAGGCGGCGAGTGGGACGTCAGTGCAAGGGTGACATGGAGGAGATCGTGTGAAGATGAGTTGGTTGAAGTAGTATGGACTAACTTGGATGGATGCAAGTGAAAAGTACATCAGAAGAAGAAGCAAGTTGAGACGTGCAGTTGAAGCCCTATGATCCACTAGGAACCTAAGGGAACAATGATAATCGAATGATAATCACATAATATTTTCTTGACTAACTCTTATCTCCTTCTCATGTCGTATAATATATTTTCTGATGTTAAGTAAGAACACGCTTATGTGAAAGGATTTACTCAAGTATTTGGTGTTGGAAATGTATAACGTTTTGCGTATTCTCAATTCAACTTGTCGATCAACTTGCAAGTTTAGGCATGTTGCATTTAATAAGTGAGAAAGAGACAAATTTGGTGTAATAAAATTATTTCTCATTAACTGTAGGACCAATTGAAGCGTGTATTTTTTTTATGTAATGCTCGTAAAACAGAAACCTCTATGCATACTACCATCAGGAATATGTTTCATTGGGAAGCAGCACGAATACAATTCTCCTGAAGTCAGACGTTCTATAAAAACACACTCCAAAGCATTTAAAATGAATGGAATTTTCAACTTGGAACTTTCTATCGAAATCCCTGAATCTCAAGTCACTATATATATATATATATATATATATATATATAAACATGTAGAAATACTAGTCAGAATATAATGATTGAAAAGAACAAGAAGTTCAGCAAAATGGAGATCTTTTTGGTGATTTCATTCTCAAAAGCACCTGTACAATCGCACTTATATAGATTAGTCTACATGAATACAACTATTATTAATTGCTTAATTCCACATAGTAACGAAGGTGATAGTAATTTTTAACTTGATGTGAAAGCGTGAAGGTACGAATATAGATTACAAGGGGCTTAGAGACAAGATTGCATGGGAGGATTAGAAAACAGTTACAACGTATGCAAAAAAGTTAATATGTGATAACCGGAGAAATAATAGTCTTAAAGGCAAATAAAAGCTGATAATTATTTTCAACTTGATATGAATTACAAGAGGCTTAGAGACGCAGGGATAGAACGAATTACAGGTGTGAACAAAATGAGCATGGAAACAAAATGAAATCAAAATTTTCAAGTTGAAATTTAAGTCAGAAGGTGTGAATATAGAGAGAATAAAATAGGCATAGAAACAACAAAACAATGACATAGGATTAGAATATAATTGTAAAATGGTTATTCTAAACGGATTACAAGAGTGATCAGGAGGAGCATGGAAACAAACTTAAAATAACTGATTTTATAACTGAAAGCAGAAATAGGATGAATTGAATGAAGGCAAAGAGAGAAAATTACACACAAAGATGACAAAACAAAAAAAATGAAGGGAAGATATCAAACTATGTCCATGATAGGTGTAAAGGCTGGATTAGTTTCTTTTGAACATATAGCTCTGGCTTTTCGATGCATATTGCAAGAGCTTCCACAGTAGAGAAAAGCTGGAAACACACTGCATTTGGAAGATTTTTGTTTACTTTGTAAATGACACTGAGTGATGAGTCGGTTGAGATTCTGTGACAGGTATGCTGACGAGGTGTTCAGTTATTGCGCTTCTGATTGAATCAGTGCTTCCTCTTTGCAGCCATGCTGGATGATGTTCTCTAACACGTTTTGATAAAACCTGCATAATGTATAATGAATCATAAAAATTGAATCCAACTGCCCAATTTTGAAGGATTTTAAGTTATTATAACACATAGTCTTCAGTTCCCAGTCTGCTGACTTTAAAAGACCACATGCAGGCAGCCTACATCTTCTTAAATAGCTCTAACAGAAAGTCAAAGAATGCTATCAAGTCTTGATATGAGCACAGATAATTTATATTGAACCCAAGGCATATGTCAGGTGAGAAAAGCAATGGATTGGCGTATGTGATACACATCCTATTCGCTTCAATCGATTCAGCTTCCCAACCTACTCCTTCCGTCAAACAAAATTAACTGATGCAAGCATGTGATAATGGATGCGAAATACGTATATATATATATATATGTTGTGTTGTGCTTGTGTATATTGATGTTGTTATTTCAGCAGAACCTGTCATTTACAATAACACTTTTAGTAGTATGATGATGCATGAATTTGTCACTACTTTTAAGCTTTATTAGTAGTGACAAAACTATGTTTTTAAATGTATTAGTTAATAAACTAGAAATTTCCCGCTTTTCTTTCAACTTCATTTTAGGTTGACATTCACAATTGTGTCTTATCTAACAGGAGTATTTGTTTTTGCTACAATTGTTGGTAAGTTATGCCATTTTTTTAAAAGAAAGTTTTTAAATGATTGGAGGTTGATTGAATGCTTCGCCTATAAAATGAATTGTTTGAGATGGTTCTTACAAAACAGCGTTACTTAGACAACCAAGGCTCTTTATCAGCATATACTTATGACGTCACCATCAGTTGTGATAACCCCAAGGGAACAACTGTTTTTTTCTTTAATTCAATTTTAGATTTTCTCCGACGCTGGATTGGACTGAAGTGCTCAGCTTCAGCTTGATATATTGGCTTCTTGTACAGATGCTTCGACGATGTCTGGGCATGCAGTCAGTACAATCAATCGACGGGAAAATCTAAAATTGAATTAAATAATTAATCTGACCGGTTGCAAAAGAAGTGGGTGTCATGGCCCAAGTGGTCTTGTGGATAACGCTTTGGCGTTTGAAATTATGGGCACTGGGTTCTAGCCTTGGTGTGAACATCATCACTCACTGTGGAATGCAGATACGCGCAGCTGACAAGTCCATAATAGGACATCAAGCTGTATTCCAGTCCTAGTCACCATTTACTGTTTATTTCTTTCCTGGAGTTCACAGTAGTTCTCTCTGAGTGGTATCAGTCTGTCATAAAATCTGCCAACTTCCTACAGATCAACGCTTCGCATGACAAAACAGATATACCACCCATATACGTTGACAGTTGAATCCGAGTCACTTTATTTAGGATTAATTAGCACATTCGTAAAAAGTTAAATTTTTGATATTCGCATTTTTCGTTGACATGACGATGATCAACAGAATATTATGAAAAGGTTTATTGGAAAGTGTTGCGTTAGCACTGGAACACACATCTTATTTTATCCGAAATTCATCAGAATCCATCAGAATAAATATCGCACTAGAAATAGGCCGCCATCCATCGAATAGGCATTTTTAATGCAGTCAGTCTTAACAATTTAGTTAAGTTTGAATGTCACTTCAGACCCTAAGTGTCCTAGCACTGTTTTATCTGGGAACAATTTTCAATCACTTAGTTTTGAAGTATTACTTAGTGATACTTTTTGTATTTTTTGCTGTATGCAGGAGATTTTGTAGCGCCTAGTTTGATTTCCCCGGGTAGGATCTCTAGCCTTACTCTCAAACTCCCATATATTCCGGGCTTATGATCATTTTGTAAGCTAGTGAGCTAGCAAACTAGGCCAGTTTATCAGTGATCCATAGTATTCCTAAGCTCCAGTCAATAATCTATAGAAATCATTATTACTATTATTGTGATGAGTTGAAAGACAAATGTCCCAGAAATTTAACTCTGAATATTTATTGGCGATGATAGGTTCTTGGTTGGGTGTTCACACTGCCAGCGTTCCTTGTTGCTTGCCTTTTTTGAGACCGGTAATCTAATCTTTAGTATCTGCTCATGGCATCTGTTGTTAAAAGTCTGTGGACTGTATTGAAAACGTTTACGAGAGACATGCCTGAGAAATTTCTGGGACATAAAGAAGAACTGATTGACTTGATAATGATGCTGAAGACTTAAATCTTGTTCCATATACTAAACGCGGTGGACTTGCACACTTATTTCAATATTACTGGTTGTCTATCTTATCTTTTTTGCTACCCTGTATTCTACTTATACTTGTATTTCCTGTTATCACATCCTTCAACCTGAATGCATTTGTCTCAGTTGAACATGCAGATATCATGACTGAATAACGCAGTGAATTTGCATGAGAACGCTGTTGCTCATTTTTGACTCATGAGTGACTTCTTTTAACTTACAGGTATATTCCATAGAAGTAAGAATTCATGACCAATTGAATTAGGTCCCAGTGGCTGAACGGTACATGAGCTTTCCATGTAACCCGAAAGTCCCGGGTTCAAACCGTGGTTGTTGGTGCGCACTGCCGATGATTCTTAAACTAGGATGAAACAGCTGTCTTGTACTGTAGCTGATATCAATCCGTCATCAATTTATCAAAACAAAATTAACCCTTAAAAAACCAAACTATAGAAAATATACGATAAATGTTTTCTGTGCAATCAATCTTCAATCAGTCTTGTCAAAATCAACTTATATATTGTGCGAGTCATAGTAAAGTGCGTTCATATAATGAATTAAGATAGGTATTTTTTCAATCAGAAATTCCCGCCTAAATTTATTTAGTTCTGCATCCTCTTAATACAATTCTGCAATTATCCAGGATATCTGATGTGCCCTATCATTTGCTTTTCGAAGTGTTTCGGTGGTTGTTACTTTTCGGCTGCCCACACCATGGAAGTTGATTAATTCTTCAAGTACCTAAAACAGAGACAGGGTTAGTGCTGCGTGACCACGGAGCCCAGGGGCCAACTGATTGAGGCCGGTCACACACGGCCTGTATGAACTGGTATCTGGGATTGATTCCGAATTAGTAAACTTACCGCCGGTTACGGACCACCCTAGGTGGGGTAAGTCGGGATGTACAATTTTTGGGGTCGACCTTTTCTGACCCCCACTCTCCATAGTTGAGAGACAGCTTAGCTGGATGGCATGCTGGTCATCTGAGGGAAACATATCACTGCTGTTAAATCCCTGTTCCCCAGCGCAGTACGACTTCGCCCTCAGACCCTCAGCATGGTGTGAGAAAGATTCTTACACAAGCAAGCTCGATCACCATGTCAAGGTAGCAGCTACTTCCAATGTTCTTCGTTATTACTATTCCTTTGTCTCACATCTCTGTTTACTGTCCCTATTATGCATTTCTTCTACTTTCTTCTCTTGCTTTGTGTGTTACGTGGATGAAGTGTGGTGACCTGAACTGCTGCACATCGGTGCAAAGTTCTATGTCAAAAACACACAGACAGACAGATTTCATTTACATGTCTCTTGTACTGATTCGACTTACAAAGATTCAGTGATTAATACCCTTCTAGCTATGTAAATATGCCTACTTCATAATAACTGTTATTTTTCCCCCTCTACTCTATGGTTTTCACTAAAAGTTTTTACTGAGTTTCTCTTCAAGTGATGCTAGATCTGGCTAAATTCATATGTTTCGACAAATCAATTAACCCTGGTCTACTGAATTTGAGTGTGTATTTGACATCATGCTAATTAAACAGTATGATTGCATAGAGGATTTCATCATGAGCTGACATCAGTTAGAGAACCATTGGAAAACCAGCTAGAAGTACTGGACAGCTGTTTCATCAGCCTAGTTTAGAACTCTTCATCAATACGCGCCTGCTGGGGTTCGAACCTAGAAACTTCTGGTCAAAAGGTGATCTCGCAGACCATTAGGCCACTGGTTTCGAACCCTAGTTGGTGCATAGTGATGAAGATTCCTAAACTAAACTGACAAAACAGCTGCCCAGTGCTCCCAGCTGGTTTTCTGATAGTTCTCTTACTGATGTAAGCTCATGATGAAATCCTCCAACCAACCAAACATAATTCCCTACAAAACCAATAATAGAAAATAATAAGAAGCATAAAAGGAAAACAGAGATCCCCTGAAGCTGTATTCTGCAGAACTTCAGTAAATAATACTGTTACATCGGTTAATACATATATATATATGAATCTTAAACAACTTCATATGAAACTTCCGTTATGTTGTTACAGTTCTCAGTTGACTGAACGATTGACGAGATTTAGATTTCTGTTATTTCCCTATGATACTTTTTCATTATTCGGTATGCTGTTTTTCCAACCGATCATTTTAATGAATCTTTATTTATTATTACTACTCTTAGTTTTGTAGGTTTTTCAAAATTGAAAGCATTTGGAAAAGGGGCGAAAATTCTGATTAGCCTTTTGCCATGTTTTTAATTTAGGATGACTGGCGGATTGTTCAAATAATTCGTCACGTTTTAATTGTCCTCAGAAGTTTAAAATTATGTAATAGGCCTTTTTTGTCACATCTTTCACATGATGTTGTACATTTACGAATTTTTTTTTTAACAGCCTAATAATTATCTACAGTCTTTTTCTTCTAAAATAATTATTATGTGAATATTTATTTATTTGAATAGGCTTACTAAAATACGTTGAATTTTATTGTCTGAAAAATGTGATGAAGCGGCACAAATGCATTCTGAACAGTCCGGTAAAATTCAACTAATAGAACGTTAAGGCGACTGAAGTCTAGAAAGCAGGATGATTGACACTATGCTTAGTGTAATTTCCTGTAAGAATCAACATCTTTTCAAGGGTTTAGGCATCCTAAAAAAAGGCTTCATCACCTGCTGTGTTTGTGCACAGAAATAAATTTGTTGTTAACACTTAGCCTAACTTAGTGTGATCCTCATCTTATTTTTATGGTCAAGAGCAATGCCAGCTAGTACCCTCCTTGATTTTCAATCTCTTCTTTTATTTGGCCCATCTTATTCTATTGATACAAGTATAAACTTGGGCACGGTGGTGGTAGAGTATAAACCTATTATGTGGATAAGATTTTATGTTGATGTTGTACAATAATATTAACTGATGACCACGTTTCGAGCACAAATTATTACTGCCCATAATCATATCAAGGCACCTACTCACACAACTTTTTCTTTCATTTATATACATTTCTAAAAACTGATGGTTAGTTAGACATTTGAACAAAATCAATATTAGAGGATAAAGTACATTCAGGAATATTAATATTAGTGTTATCATTAAAATACAATCAGAGGGGAAATAAGATGTTTTTATGGTAAAATAAATAAGTAACTTGTTAGAATGTTGCCATATGAATTGAAACAAAAATTTTAGCATTATTTCTTATCCTCTGATATGACTGGTGGTAATTATATATTCGACATCTCTGGTATTTGCATTGAGTCATTTCTGCTGCATGTGTTGTGTTGGGTGTAGACTCGATGAACAAGACTGGATTCAGTAGTCAGTCTCTCACGCTCCCCATCTACCTATATTACTCTTTAAAATTTTGACTCTCTCCCACCCTATTGTGTCGTTGTGTGTTAATGCATACAGTGCAGTGTAGCGCTGAGCTTTTTTCTAAATTATTTATTTTCTAAGGGTCAATCATTCTAATCTTA